AGGGAGCCACTGGTGAGACTGCACGGGGGGAGCCACTGGTGAAGACTGCACAGGGGGGGGCAGTGGGAGACTGCACGGGAGGAGCCACTGGTGAGACTGCCTGGGGGGAGCCACTGGTGAGACTGCACGGAGGGAGCCACTGGGGGGACATCCTGGTGGTGTCCACTGGGGAGACCGCCTGGAGAGAGCCACTAGTGAGACTGCCTGGGGGAGTCTCTGGTGAAGCTGCACAGGGGGAGCCACTAGTGAGGACTGCACGGGGGAGCCACTGGTGAGACTTCACGGGGGGAGCCACTGGTGAGACTGCACGGGGGGAGCCACTGGGGTGACATCCTGGTGGTGTCCACTGGCGAGACCACCTGGAGAGAGCCACTGGTAAGACTGCCTGGGGGGAGTCTCTGGTGAGACTGCACGGGGGGAACCACTGGTGAGACTGCACGGGAGGAGCCACTGGTGAGACTGCCTGGAGGGAGCCACTGGTGAGACTGCACGGAGGGAGCCACTAGGGGACCTCCTGGGTGTGTCCACTGGGGAGACCGCCTGGAGAGAGCCACTGGTGAGACAGCATGGTGGGAGCCACTGGGGGGTCATCCTGGGTGTTGTCCACTGGAGAGACCGCCTGGAGAGAACCACTGGTGAGACTGAACGGAGGAGCCACTGGTGAGACTGCCTGGGGGAGTCTCTGGTGAGACTGCACGGGGGGAGCCACTGGTGAGACTGCACGGGGGGAGCCACTGGGGGGACTGCCTAGGTGTCCACTGGAGAGACTGCCTCGAGGGAGCCACTGGTGAGACTGCACCGAGAGAGCCACTGGTGAGACTGCCTGGGGGGAGCCACTGGTGAGACTGCACGGGGGAGCCACAGGTGAGACTGCACGGGGGGAGCCACTGGTGAGACTGCACGGGGGGAGCCACTGGTGAGACTGCACGGAGGGAACCACTGGCGAGACTGCACGGAGGGAGCCACTGGTGAGACTGCACGGAGGGAGCCACTGGTGAGACTGCACGGGAGGAGCCACTGGGGGGACATCCTGGGTGGTGTCCACTGGGGAGACTTCCTGGATGGAGCCACTGGTGAGACTGCCTAGTGGGAGCCACTGGTGAGACTGCACGGAGGGAGCCACTGGGGAGACCGCCTGGAGAGAGCCACTGGTGAGACTGCCTAGGGGGAGTCTCTGGTGAGACTGCACGGGGGGAGCCACTGGTGAGACTGCACGGGGAGCCACTGGTGAGACTGCACGGGGGAGCCACTGGGGGGACATCCTGGGTGGTGTCCACTGGGGAGACCGCCTGGAGGGAGCCACTGGTGGGACTGCCTAGTGGGAGCCACTGGTGAGACTGCACGGAGGGAGCCACTGGTGAGACTGTACGGAGGGAGACACTGGTGAGACTGCCTAGGGGGAGCCACTGGTGAGACTTCACGGAGGGAGCCACTGGCGAGACTGCACGGAGGGAGCCACTGGTGAGACTGCATGGGAGGAGCCACTGGTGAGACTGCACGGGGGGAGCCACTGGTGAGACTGCACGGGGGGACCACTGGTGAGACTGCATGGAAGGAGCTACTGGTGATACTGCCTGGAGGGAGCCACTGGTGAGACTGCACGGAGGGAGCCACTGGGGGGACCTCCTGGGTGGTGTCCACTGGGGACGCCACCTGGAGAGAACCACTGGTGAGACTGCACGGGGGAGCCACTGGGGGGTCATCCTGGTTGCTGTCCACTGGAGAAAGCCACTGGTGAGACTGCACGGAGGGAGCCACTGGTGAGACTGCCTGGGGGGAGTCTCTGGTGAGACTGCAAGGGGGGAGCCACTGGTGAGACTGCACGGTGGGAGCCACTGGGGGGCTGCACGGAGGAAGCCACTGGTGAGACTGCACGGGAAGAGCCACTTGTGAGACTGCACGGGGGGAGCCACTGGTGAGATTGCACGGAGGGAGCCACTGGTGAGACTGCACGGAGGGAGCCACTGGTGAGACTGCACTGGGGGAGCCACTGGTGAGACTGCACGGAGGGAGCCACGGGGGGGGGGGGACCTCCTGGATGGTGTCCACTGGGGAGACTGCCTGGAGAGAGCCACTGGTGAGACTGCCTGGGGGGAGTCTCTAGTGAGACTGCACGGGGGGAGCCACTGGTGAGACTGCACAGGGAGAGCCACTGGTGAGACTGCACGGGTAGAGCCACTGGTGAGACTGCACGGGGGGAGCCACTGGTGAGACTGCCTGGGGGGTGTCTCTGGTGAGACTGCATGGGGGGAGCCACTGGTGAGAGCATGGGGGGGAGCACTGGTGAGACTGCAACGGGAGCCACTGGGGGGACATCCTGGATGGTGTCCACTGGGGAGACTGCACGGGGGAGCCACTGGTAATACTGCGTAGGGGGAGCCACTGGTGAGACTGCACGGAGGGAGCCACTGGTGAGACTGCATGGAGGGAGACACTGGTGAGACTGCCTAGGGGGAGCCACTGGTGAGGCTGCACGGAAGGAGCCACTGGCGAGACTGCACGCAGGGAGCCACTGGTGAGACTGCACGGAGAGAGCCACTGGTGAGACTGCCTGAGGGGGAGTCTCTGGTGAGACTGCACGGGGGAGCCACTGGTGAGACTGCACGGGGGGAGCCACTGGTGAGACTGCACAGGGGGAGCCACTGGGAGGACATCCTGGGTGGTGTCCACTGGGGAGACTGCGCAGGTGGTTTCCACTGGGGAAACTGCCTCGGTGGGAGCCACTGGGGGACTGCCTGGGGTAATCCACTAGTGAGACTACGTGGGGGACCATCAGGGGGAGCCACTGGGGGGACTGCCTGGGTGGTGTCCACTGAGGAAACTGCCTGGGAGAAGCCACTGGTGAGACTGCACGGAAGGAGCCACTGGTGAGACTGCACGGAGGGAGCCACTGGTGAGACTGCACAGGAGGAGCCAATGGTGAGACTGCACGGGGGAGCCGCTGGTGAGACTGCACGGGAGGAGCCACTGGTGAGACTGCTTGGGGGGAGGCACTGGTGAGACTGCACGGAGGAGCCACTGGGGGGACATCCTGGGTGGTGTCCACTGGGGAGACCGCCTGGAGAGAGCCACTGGTGAGACTGCCTGGGGGGAATCTCTGCTGAGACTGCACGGGGGAGCCACTGGTGAGACTACACGGGGGAGCCACTGGTGAAACTGCACGGGGGGAGCCACTGGTGAGACTGCATGGAGGAAGCCACTGGGGGGACCTCCTGGGTGGTGTCCACTGGGGAGACCGCCTGGAGAGAGCCACTGGTGAGACTGCCTGGGGGGAGTCTCTGGTGAGACTGCACAGGATGAACCACTGGTGAGACTGCACGGGAGGAGCCACTGGTGAGACTGCCTGGAGGGAGCCACTGGTGAGACTGCATGGAGGGAGCCACTGGGGGGACCTCCTGGGTGGTGTCCACTGGGGAGACCACCTGGAGAGAGCCACTGGTGTGACTGCATTGGGGGATCCACTGGGGGTCATCCTGGGTGTTGTCCACTGGAGAGACCGCCTGGAGAGAGCCACTGGTGAGACTGCACGGAGGGAGCCACTGGTGAGACTGCCTGGGGGAGTCTCTGGTGAGACAGCATGGGGGAGCCACTGGTGAGACTGCACGGGGGGAGCCACTGGGGGGACTGCCTAGGTGTCCACTGGGGAGACCGCCTCGAGGAGTCACTGGTGAGACTGCACGGAGAGAGCCACTGGTGAGACTGCCTGGAGGGAGCCACTGGTGAGACTGCACGGAGGGAGACACTGGTGAGACTGCACGGGGGAGCCACTGGTGAGACTGCACGGAGGGAGACACTGGTGAGACTGCACGGGGGGAGCCACTGGAGAGACTGCACGGGGGGGGGGGGGGCACTGGGGGACATCCTAGGTGGTGTCCACTGGGGAGACCGCCTGAAGGGAGCAACTGGTGAGACTGCCTAGGGGGAGCCACTGGTGAGACTGCACGGAAGGAGCCACTGGTGAGACTGCACGGAGGGAGACACTGGTGAGACTGCCTAGGGGGAGCCACTGGTGAGGTGAGACTGCACGGAGGGAGCACTGGTGAGACTGCACGGGAGGAGCACTGGTGAGACTGAGCCACTGGTGAGACTGCACGGAGAGAGCCACTGGTGAGACTCCCTGGGGGGAGCCAGTGGTGAGACTGCACGGAGGGAGCCACTGGGGGGACATCCTGGGTGGTGTCCACTGGGAGACCGCCTGGAGAGAGGCCGGTGAGACTGCACGGAGGGAGCCATTGGTGAGACTGCCTGGGGGGAGTCTCTGGTGAGACTGCACAGGAGGAGGCACTGGTGAGACTGCACGGGGGAGCCACTGGGGGGACTGCCTGGTGTCCACTGGAGGGACCGCCTCGAGGGAGCCACTGGTGAGACTGCCTGGGGGAGCCACTGGTGAGCCTGCCACGGGGGGAGCCACAGGTGAGACTGCACGGGGAGCCACTGGTGAGACTGCACGGGAAGAGCACTGGTGAGACTGGCACGGGGGGAGCCACTGGTGAGACTGGACGGAGGGAGCCACAGGTGAGACTGCACGGAGGGCGCCACTGGTGAGACTGCACAGGGGGAGCCACTGGTGAGACTGCACGGGGGGAGCCACTGTGAGACTGCACGGAGGGTGCCACGGGGGGGACCTCCTGGGTGGTGTCCACTGGGAGACCGCCTGGAGAGAGCCACTGGTGAGACTGCCTGGGGGGAGTCTCTGGTGAGACTGCACGGGGGGAGCCACTGGTGAGACTGCACGGGGGGAGCTACTGGTGAGACTGCACGGGAAGAGCCACTGGTGAGACTGCACGGATGGAGCCACTGGTTAGACTGCACGGTGGGAGCCACTGGTTAGACTGCACGGGTAGAGCCACTAGTGAGACTGCACGGAGGGAGCCACTGGTGAGACTGCACGGGAGAGCCACAGGTGAGACTGCACGGTGGGAGCCACGGGGGGGGGGGGGACCTCCTGGGTGGTGTTCACTGGTGAGACCGCTTGGAGAGAGCACTGGTGAGACTGCACGGGGGGAGCCACTGCGGGAACATCCTGGTGGTGTCCACTGGTGAGACTGCACGGAGGGAGCCACTGGTGAGACTGTACGGAGGTAGCCACTGGTGAGACTGCACGGGAGGAGCCACAGGTGACGCTGCACGGTGGGAGCCACGGGGGGGGACCTCCTGGGTGGTGTCCACTGGTGAGACCGCTTGGAGAGAGCCACTGGTGAGACTGCACTGGGGGAGCTACTGCGGGAACATCCTGGGTGGTGTCCACTGGTGAGACTGCACGGAGGGAGCCACTGGTGAGACTGCACGGAGGTAGCCACTGGTGAGACTGCCTGGGGGGAGCCACCGGTGAGTCTGCACGGAGGGAGCACTGGTGAGACTGCACGGTGGGAGCCACTGGTAAGACTGCACGGGGGGAGCCTCTGGGAGGACATCCTGGTGGTGTCCACTGGGAGACCGCCTGGAGGAGCCACTGGTGAGACTGCACGGGGGGAGCCACTGGGGGGACATCCTGGGTGGTGTCCACTGGTGAGACTGCACGGAGGGAGCCACTGGTGAGACTGCAGGGAGCCACTGGTGAGACTGCCTGGGGGAGCCACTGGGTGAGACTGCACGGAGGGAGCCACTGGTGAGATTGCACGGAGGGAGCCACTAATGAGACTGCACAGAGGGAGCCACTAATGAGACTGCACGGAGAGAGCCACTGGTGAGACTACACGGAGGGAGCCACTGGTGAGACTGCACGGAGGGAGTCACTAATGAGACTGCACGGAGGGAGCAACTAATGAGGCTGCACTGGAGAAGCCACTGCTGAGACTGCACAGGAGGAGCCACTAATGATACTGCACAGAGGGAGCCACTGGTGAGACTGCACGGGGGGAGCCACTGGGGAGACCGCCTGGAGAGAGCCACTGGTGAGACTGCACGGGGGACCCACTGGGGGAATATCCTGGGTGGTGTCCACTGGGGACCGCCTGGAGGGAGCCACTGGTGAGACTGCACGGGAGGAGCCACTGGTGAGACTGCATGGGGGGAGCCACTGGGGGGACATCCTGGGTGGTGTCCACTTGGGTGACCGCCTCGAGGGAGCCACTGGTGAGACTGCCTGGGGGAGCCGGTGATGAGACTGCACGGAGGAGCCACTGGGAGGACATCCAGGTGGTGTCTACTGGGAGACCGCCTGGAGGGAGCCACTGATGAGACTGCCTGGGGGAAACCACCGGTGAGACTGCACGGAGGGAGCCACTGGGGAGACTGCACGGGGGGAACCACTGGGGGACCTCCTGGGTGGTGTCCACTGGAGAGATGCCTGGAGAGAGCCTCTGGTGAGACGCACGGGGGAGCCACTGGGGGGACCTCCTGGGTGGTGTCCACTGGAGAGATTGCCTGGAGAGAGCCTCTGGTGAGACTGCACGGGGGAGCCACTGGGGGGACCTCTGGGTGGTGTCCACTGGAGAGATCGCCTGGAGAGAGCCACTGTGAGACTGCACGGGGGGAGCCACTGGGGGACCTCCTGGGTGGTGTCCACTGGAGAGATCGCCTGGAGAGAGCCTCTGATGAGACTGCACGGGGGGAGCCACTGGGGGGACATCCTGGGTGGTGTCCACTGGAGAGACCGCCTGGAGGGAGCCACTGGTGAGACTGCACGGGAGGAGCCACTGGTGAGACTGCACGGGAGGAACCACTGGAGGGACATCCTGGATGGTGTCCACTGGGGTGACCGCCTCGAGGGAGCCACTGGTGAGACTGCTGGGGGAGCCGGTGATGAGACTGGACGGAGGAGCCACTGGGGGGACATCCTGGGTGTTGTCCACTGGGGAGACCGCCTGGTGGGAGCCACTGGTGAGACTGCACGAGGGGAGCCACTGGTGAGACTGCCTGGGGAGAGCCACTGGGGGACATCCTGGGTGTTTCCACTGAGGAGAAAGCCTGGTGGGAGCCACTGGTGAGACTGCACGAGGGGAGCCACTGGGGGAACATACTGGGTGGTGTCCAATGGGGAGACCGCCTCGAGGGAGCCACTGGTGAGACTGCCTGGGGGGAGCCACCGGTGAGACTGCACGGAGGGAGCCACTGGTGAGACTGCACGGAGGGAGCCACTGGTGAGACTGCCTGGGGGGAGCCACCGGTGAGACTGCACGGAGGGAGCCACTGGTGAGACTGCATGTGGGGAGCCACTGGTGAGACTGCACGGGGGGAGCCACTGGTGAGACTGCACGGGGGGAGCCACTGGGGGGACATCCTGGGTGGTGTCCACTGGGGAGACCGCCTGGAGAGAGCCACTGGTGAGACTGCACGGAGGGAGCCACTGGTGAGATTGCACGGAGGGAGCCACTAATGAGACTGCACAGAGGGAGCCACTAATGAGACTGCACGGAGAGAGCCACTGGTGAGACTACACGGAGGGAGCCACTGGTGAGACTGCACGGAGGGAGTCACTAATGAGACTGCACGGAGGGAGCAACTAATGAGGCTGCACTGGAGAAGCCACTGCTGAGACTGCACAGGAGGAGCCACTAATGATACTGCACAGAGGGAGCCACTGGTGAGACTGCACGGGGAGCCACTGGGGAGACCGCCTGGAGAGAGCCACTGGTGAGACTGCACGGGGGGAGCCACTGGGGAATTTCCTGGGTGGTGTCCACTGGGGAGGGCCGCCTGGAGGGAGCCACTGGTGAGACTGCATGGGGGGAGCCACTGGGGGGCATCCTGGGTGTGTCTCCACCTTGGGTGACCGCCTCGAGGGAGCCACTGGTGAGACTGCCTGGGGGGAGCCGGGATGAAACTGCACGGAGGAGCCACTGGGAGGACATCCTGGTTGGTGTCTACTGGGAGACCGCTGGAGGGAGCCACTGGTGAACTGCCTGGGGGAAACCACCGGTGAGACTGCACGGNTGGGGACATCCTGAGTGGTGTCCACTTGGGTGATCGGCGCCTCGAGGGAGCCACTGGTGAGACTGCCTGGGGGAGCCGGTGATGAGACTGCACGGAGGAGCCACTGGGAGGACATCCTGGTTGGTGTCTACTGGGAGAGACCCTGGAGGAGCCACTGGTGAGACTGCCTGGGGGAAGCCACTGGGGGGACATCCTGGGTGGTGTCCACTGGAGAGACCGCCTGGAGGGAGCCACTGGTGAGACTGCACGGAGGGAGCCACTGGTGAGACTGCATGTGGGGAGCCACTGGTGAGACTGCACGGGGGAGCCACTGGTGAGACTGCACGAGGGGAGCCACTGGGGGACATCCTGGGTGGTGTCCACTGGTGAGACTGCACGGAGGGAGCCACTGGTGAGACTGCACGGAGGGAGCCACTGGTGAGACTGCCTGGGGGAGCCACCGTGAGACTGCACGGAGGGAGCCACTGGTGAGACTGCCCACTGGTGAGACGCACGGGGGGGAGCCACTGGTGAGACTGCACGGGGGGAGCCACTGGTGGGACATCCTGGGTGGTGTCCACTGGGGGACCGCCTGGAGAGAGGCCACTGGTGAGACTGCACGGAGGGAGCCACTGGTGAGATTGCACAGAGGAGCCACTAATGAGACTGCACAAGGGAGCCACTAATGAGACTGCACGGAGAGAGCCACTGGTGAGACTACACGGAGGAGCCACTGGTGAGACTGCACGGAGGGAGTCACTAATGAGACTGCACGGAGGGAGCAACTAATGAGGCTGCACTGGAGAAGCCACTGCTGAGACTGCACAGGAGGAGCCACTAATAATACTGCACAGAGGGAGCCACTGGTGAGACTGCACGGGGGGACCCACTGGGGAATATCCTGGGTGGTGTCCACTGGGGAGACCGCCTGGAGGGAGCCACTGGTGAGACTGCACGGGAGGAGCCACTGGTGAGACTGCATGGGGGGAGCCACTGGGGGACATCCTGGGTGTGTCCACTTGGGTGACCGCCTCGAGGGAGCCACTGGTGAGACTGCCTGGGGGGAGCCGGTGATGAGACTGGACGGAGGAGCCACTGGGGGGACATCCTGGTGTGTGTCCACTGGGGAGACCGCCTGGTGGGAGCCACTGGTGAGACTGCACGAGGGGAGCCACTGGTGAGACTGCCTGGGGAGAGCCACTGGGGGGACATCCTGGGTGTTGTCCACTGAGGAGAAAGCCTGGTGGGAGCCACTGGTGAGACTGCACGAGGGGAGCCACTGGGGAACATACTGGGTGGTGTCCAATGGGGAGACCGCCTCGAGGAGCCACTGGTGAGACTGCCTGGGGGGGAGCCACCGGTGAGACTGTGGTGAGACTGCACGGAGGCCACTGGTGAGACTGCCTGGGGGGAGCCACGGTGAGACTGCACGGAGGGAGCCACTGGTGAAGACTGCATGTGAGGAGCCACTGGTGAGACTGCACGGGGGAGCCACTGGTGAGACTGCACGGGGGGAGCACTGGGGGAACATCCTGGTGTGTCCACTGGGGAGACCGCCTGGAGAGAGCCACTGGTGAGACTGCACGGAGGGAGCCACTGGTGAGATTGCACGAGGGAGCCACTAATGAGACTGCACAGAGGGAGCACTAATGAGACTGCACGGAGAGAGCCACTGGTGAGACTACACGGAGGGAGCCACTGGTGAGACTGCACGGAGGGAGTCACTAATGAGACTGCACGAGGGAGCAACTAATGAGGCTGCACTGGAGAAGCCACTGCTGAGACTGCACAGGAGGAGCCACTAATGATACTGCACAGAGGGAGCCACTGGTGAGACTGCACGGGGGGAGCCACTGGGGAGACCGCCTGGAGAGAGCCACTGGTGAGACTGCACGGGGGAGCCACTGGGGAATTTCCTGGGTGGTGTCCACTGGGGAGGCCGCCTGGAGGGAGCCACTGGTGAGACTGCACGGGAGAGCCACTGGTGAGACTGCATGGGGGAGCCACTGGGGGGACATCCTGGGTGGTGTCCACTTGGGTGACCGCCTCGAGGGAGCCACTGGTGAGACTGCCTGGGGGGAGCCGGTGATGAAACTGCACGGAGGAGCCACTGGGAGGACATCCTGGTTGGTGTCTACTGGGGAGACCGCCTGGAGGGAGCCACTGGTGAAACTGCCTGGGGGAAACCACCGGTGAGACTGCACGGAGGGAGCCACTGGGGAGACTGCACGGGGGGAACCACTGGGGGGACCTCCTGGGTGGTGTCCACTGGAGAGATCGCCTGGAGAGAGCCTCTGGTGAGACTGCACGGGGGGAGCCACTGGGGGGACCTCCTGGGTGGTGTCCAGTGGAGAGATCGCCTGGAGAGAGCCACTGGTGAGACTGCACGGGGGGAGCCACTGGGGGACCTCCTGGGTGGTGTCCACTGGAGATCGCCTGGAGAGAGCCTCTGGTGAGACTGCACGGGGGGAGCCACTGGGGGGACATCCTGGGTAGTGTCCACTGGAGAGACCGCCTGGAGGGAGCCACTGGTGAGGCTGCACGGGAGGAGCCACTGGTGAGACTGCACGGGAGGAGCCACTGGAGGGACATCCTGGATGGTGTCCACTGGGGTGACCGCCTCGAGGGAGCCACTGGTGAGACTGCCTGGAGGGAGCCGGTGATGAGACTGGACGGAGGAGCCACTGGGGGACATCCTGGTGTTGTCTACTGGGAGACCGCCTGGTGGAGCCACTGGTGAGACTGCACGAGGGGAGCCACTGGTGAGACTGCCTGGGGAGCCACTGGGGGACATCCTGGTGTTGTCCACTGGGAGACCGCCTGGAGAGAGCCACTGGTGAGACTGCACGAGGGGAGCCACTGGGGGAACATCCTGGTGGTGTCCAATGGGGAGACCGCCTCGAGGGAGCCACTGGTGAGACTGCCTGGGGGAGCCACCGGTGAGACTGCACGGAGACACTGCACGGGGGAGCCACTGGGGGACATCCTGGGTGGTGTCCACTGGAGAAACCGCCTGGAGGGGAGCCACTGGTGAGACTGCACGGGGAGCCACTGGTGAGACTGCATGTGGGGAGCCACTGGTGAGACTGCACGGGGGGAGCCACTGCACGGGGGAGCCACTGGGTCTGCCACTGGTGAGACTGCACGGAGGGAGCCACTGGTGAGACTGCCTGGTGAGACTGCTGGGGGGAGCCACCGGTGAGACTGCACGGAGGGAGCCACTGGTGAGACTGCATGGGGAGCCACTGGTGAGACTGCACGGGGGGAGCCACTGGTGAGACTGCACGGGGGGAGCCACTGGTGGGACATCCTGGGTGGTGTCCACTGGGAGACCGCCTGGAGAGAGCCACTGGTGAGACTGCACGAGGGAGCCACTGGGGGAACATCCTGGGTGGTGTCCAATGGGAGACCGCCTCGAGGGAGCCACTGGTGAGACTGCCTGGGGGAGCCACCGGTGAGACTGCACGGAGACACTGCACGGGGGAGCCACTGGGGGGACATCCTGGTGGTGTCCACTGGAGAAACGCCTGGAGGAGCCACTGGTGAGACTGCACGGAGGGAGCCACTGGTGAGACTGCATGTGGGGAGCCACTGTGAGACTGCACGGGGGGAGCCACTGGTGAGACTGCACGGGGAGCCACTGGTCCTGGTGGTGTCCACTGGAGACTGCACGGAGGGAGCCACTGGTGAGACTGCACGGAGGGAGCCACTGGTGAATGCCTGGGGGGAGCACGGTGAGACTGCACGGAGGGAGCCACTGGTGAGACTGCACCACTGTGAGACTGCACGGGGAGCCACTGGTGAGACTGCACGGGGGGAGCCACTGGTGGACATCCTGGTGGTGTCCACTGGGGAGACCGCCTGGAGAGAGCCACTGGTGAGACTGCACGGAGGGAGCCACTGGTGAGATTGCACGGAGGGAGCCACTAATGAGACTGCACAGAGGGAGCCACCACTAATGAGACTGCACGGAGAGAGCCACTGGTGAGACTACACGGAGGGAGCCACTGGTGAGACTGCACGGAGGGAGTCACTAATGAGACTGCACGGAGGGAGCAACTAATGAGGCTGCACTGGAGAAGCCACTGCTGAGACTGCACAGGAGGAGCCACTAATGATACTGCACAGAGGGAGCCACTGGTGAGACTGCACGGGGGGAGCCACTGGGGAGACCGCCTGGAGAGAGCCACTGGTGAGACTGCACGGGGGGACCCACTGGGGGAATATCCTGGGTGGTGTCCACTGGGGAGACCGCCTGGAGGGAGCCACTGGTGAGACTGCACGGGAGGAGCCACTGGTGAGACTGCATGGGGGGAGCCACTGGGGACATCCTGGGTGGTGTCCACTTGGGTGACCGCCTCGAGGAGCCACTGGTGAGACTGCCTGGGGGGAGCCGGTGATGAGACTGCACGGAGGAGCCACTGGGAGGACATCCAGGGTGGTGTCTACTGGGGAGACCGCCTGGAGGGAGCCACTGATGAGACTGCCTGGGGGAAACCACCGGTGAGACTGCACGGAGGGAGCCACTGGGAGACTGCACGGGGGGAACACTGGGGGGACCTCCTGGGTGGTGTCCACTGGAGAGATTGCCTGGAGAGAGCCTCTGGTGAGACTGCACGGGGGACTGGGGGACTCCTGGGTGGTGTCCACTGGAGAGATTGCCTGGAGAGAGCCTCTGGTGAGACTGCACGGGGGAGCCACTGGGGGGACCTCCTGGGTGGTGTCCACTGGAGAGATCGCCTGGAGAGAGCCACGTGTGAGACTGCACGGGGGGAGCCACTGGGGGACTCCTGGGTGGTGTCCACTGGAGAGATCGCCTGAGAGAGCCTCTGATGAGACTGCACGGGGGGAGCCACTGGGGGACATCTGGTGGTGTCCACTGGAGAGACCGCCTGGAGGAGCCACTGGTGAGACTGCACGGGAGGAGCCACTGTGAGACTGCACGGGAGGAACCACTGGAGGGACATCCTGGATGGTGTCCACTGGGGTGACCGCCTCGAGGGAGCCACTGGTGAGACTGCCTGGGGGGAGCCGGTGATGAGACTGGACGGAGGAGCCACTGGGGGGACATCCTGGGTGTTGTCCACTGGGAGACCGCCTGGTGGGCCACTGGTGAGACTGCACGAGGGGAGCCACTGGTGAGACTGCCTGGGGAGAGCCACTGGGGGGACATCCTGGGTGTTGTCCACTGAGGAGAAAGCCTGGTGGGAGCCACTGGTGAGACTGCACGAGGGGAGCCACTGGGGAACATACTGGGTGGTGTCAATGGGGAGACCGCCTGAGAGCCACTGGTGAGACTGCCTGGGGGGAGCCACCGGTGAGACTGCACGGAGGGAGCCACTGGTGAGACTGCACGGAGGGAGCCACTGGTGAGACTGCCTGGGGGGAGCCACCGGTGAGACTGCACGGAGGGAGCCACTGGTGAGACTGCATGTGGGGAGCCCACTGGTGAGACTGCACGGGGCACTGGGACTGCACGGGGGGAGCCACTGGGGGACATCCTGGGTGGTGTCCACTGGGGAGACCGCCTGGAGAGAGCCACTGGTGAGACTGCACGGAGGGAGCCACTGGTGAGATTGCACGGAGGGAGCCACTAATGAGACTGCACAGAGGGAGCCACTAATGAGACTGCACGGAGAGAGCCACTGAGACTACACGGAGGGAGCCACTGGTGAGACTGCACGGAGGGAGTCACTAATGAGACTGCACGGAGGGAGCAACTAATGAGGCTGCACTGGAGAAGCCACTGCTGAGACTGCACAGGAGGAGCCACTAATGATACTGCACAGAGGGAGCCACTGGTGAGACTGCACGGGGGAGCCACTGGGGAGACCGCCTGGAGAGAGCCACTGGTGAGACTGCACGGGGGAGCCACTGGGGGAATTTCCTGGGTGGTGTCCACTGGGAGGCCGCCTGGAGGGAGCCACTGGTGAGACTGCATGGGGGGAGCCACTGGGGGCATCCTGCCACTTGGGTGACCGCTCGAGGGAGCCACTGGTGAGACTGCCTGGGGGGAGCCGGTGATGAAACTGCACGGAGGAGCCACTGGGAGGACATCCTGGTTGGTGTCTACTGGGAGACCGCCTGGAGGGAGCCACTGGTGAACTGCCTGGGGAAACCACGGTGAGACTGCACGGAGGGAGCCACTGGGAGACTGCACGGGGGGAACCACTGGGGGGACCTCCTGGGTGGTGTCCACTGGAGAGATCGCCTGGAGAGAGCCTCTGGTGAGACTGCACGGGGGGAGCCACTGGGGGACCTCTGGGTGGTGTCCAGTGGAGAGATCGCCTGGAGAGAGCCACTGGTGAGACTGCACGGGGGGAGCCACTGGGGGGACCTCCTGGGTGGTGTCCACTGGAGAGATCGCCTGGAGAGAGCCTCTGGTGAGACTGCACGGGGGAGCCACTGGGGGGACATCCTGGGTGGTGTCCACTGGAGAGACCGCCTGGAGGGAGCCACTGGTGAGGCTGCACGGAGAGCCCACTGGTGAGACTGCACGGGAGGAGCCACTGGAGGGACATCCTGGATGGTGTCCACTGGGGTGACCGCCTCGAGGGAGCCACTGGTGAGACTGCCTGGGGGGAGCCGGTGATGAGACTGGACGGAGGAGCACTGGGGGACATCCTGGGTGTTGTCTACTGGGGAGACCGCCTGGTGGGAGCCACTGGTGAGACTGCACGAGGGGAGCCACTGGTGAGACTGCCTGGGGAGAGCCACTGGGGGGACATCCTGGGTGTTGTCCACTGGGGAGACCGCCTGGAGAGAGCCACTGGTGAGACTGCACGAGGGGAGCCACTGGGGGAACATCCTGGGTGGTGTCCAATGGGGAGACCGCCTCGAGGGAGCCACTGGTGAGACTGCCTGGGGGGAGCCACCGGTGAGACTGCACGGAGACACTGCACGGGGGAGCCACTGGTGAGACTGCACGGGGGGGGGGTGCCTCTGGTGAGACTGCAAGAGGGGAGCCACTGGGGGGACATCCTGGGTGGTGTCCACTGGGAGACCGCCACGATGGAGCCCTGGTGAGACTGCACGGGGGGAGCCACTGGTGAGACAGCACGTGGGAAGCCACTGGGGGGACATACTGGGTGGCGCTCTATAGTGACTTGAAGTATCAGGATATGATCTATTGTGGACGTAGCAGGA